CGGCCTCCGGCCAACGCCCTGTCGCGGTAGTGAGACGACATAGGTTCCGCGCCGTAGTCGCGCGCAATCTGCCGCTTGCGCTCCCGTGCCCCGCCGTCGCGATCACCGTCGCCCCCTTGGCCTTGGCGATCTGCACCGCTGCCAGCCCGACTCCGCCCGCAGCCGGCGTGCACCAGCACCCAGTCGCCGGCCTGCACGCCCGCCCCGGGTGCACCAGCCCGCCCATACGAACGTCGGCGCCCGTCACGAACAGCCCCCGCCGCGTCGGCGGAAAGCTCCACCCCGTTTCGGCACGGGGAGGGAAGCGTGTGCTCGGCGGCCAAGGACGTGCGTGGCGTAAGCGCCCCTGCGTTGCGCCAAACACGCGGTCGCCGACTTTGAAGCGGGGCCGTTGCGGGGGTTTTGGAGGTTGGCAGCGCCAGCACCGTGCCTGCGAACTCGGCGCCGCCGATCCACGGCAGCGGCGGCTGGTGCTGGTATTTGCCTTGAATTTGGAGGAGATCGAAGAAGTTGGTGCCGGCGGAGTGGATCTCGATCAGGTATTCGTTTGCGGACGGGGAGGGCGTGGGGAGGGTCGAGACTTGGAGGTCCATGGGGCCCTGTTTGCGTTAGTTGGTGAGTTGATAGGAGTTGGGGTACGCACCTTGACGTATTCTTTGACTTGAATTGCCCGCATTGTGGTATTCTACAGTCGGTTCAATTAATAGAAGATGCGCGAAGAGGTGAAGTTGGAAGAAAGATAAAAACCTGGGTAGATAGATAGTCGACAAGTTGGAGCTTCCCCGCGCTTTTAACGGAGAACATGCCGAGGTTCGTTGTCGGATAAAACAGGATACCGACCGCCTAGTCGGCATCGCCGAGCCTCTACATAAGAAGGATATTCACTTCGATCATTGTATACAGCGTATGATTCTTCTATTATATAGGAAGCAAATAACCAACATACAGGTATCATCCCAGCCATCCCACAACCCATGCAGATACTTATATACCCATGAGACATCAACAGTGTGTATGCGTAACCCAACTCCCGTGCGACACATGTGGATATCAAATACATTCGAAAAGTAGAGCCTCCCATAATGCCCAGGACATGGCCTGCCAGGTCCTAACAGGGCAACATGGAGTTGCAAGAAACCAAAAAACCACCCATTCTTGAGATTTGAACAAAAAAGACCGAGAAGGAAAATTACCATGCGTATAAGCGAAGGGGTTGAGAGAAAGAAAAAAACACGAAGCATGTCTAATCTTCAATTCAAAGACCGATGCTTGGAGGCCCCTGCATGACAGGCTCCGGTCCGGGGTAAGAGTACATCGGCGCACACATCATCGGATGCGGGCCGCTGTGAAAGTATGGAGGCGATGGGTTTCCGAGTCCGACAGACGGCGGACCAGACATCTTGCATGGCAAGGATGACGTTCTTTCCAGATGAGCCTGTCGGTAGGACTTGTCTCCTGTTCGATCTCCGCCCGCGGCATGGTCCGAGAGAAACGGAGAGGTCATCTTGCGTTTCGATGCCTCATACATCTCCGCCATCTGTTGCGGCGAGAAGCCGGACTGTGAGGAGTGGGAAGAATATAGCCGCTGGGGATGGGGCATCATTTGCATCGCCGAGTCGATCGGAGGGCTCAACGGGGCTGCCGGGTAGAAAGGGACGGTCGAAGGCTGGGTCTCGGGAGGCAAGGGGAACCATTGGGGCATGGACCAGGGGATTTGCGTCACGGGCGCAGCGGTCGTGGTCGTCGGCATCTGGAGGCATGACTCTGTCGTCCCAGTGTATGAGGGATTAGGAAACTGTGTCACTGCCGCTCCCTGGTTGACCAGAACGTTGTCCAAAGGCGAAGTGTTGGACG